TATATATATATATATATATATATATACACATACATATAAAATTAATCAAATAAACTGAAAATATAACAAATTAATTTTTTTAAACTGAAATACACATTAAACAAATCAAATAAACTGAAAGATATAACACATATATTTAATAAGTAATTTTATAAACTAAAATACATATTAAAATTAAGAAGAATAAAAGGGAGGGAAAAAAGAAAACCAACGCCTGCCCTAGCTGTGCTTGTGCAGACGCTGGAGGAGAAAAAGTGAAAAAGAGAAGAGAAGAAGAAGAAGGAAGAAGAAAGAAATAAAGAGCAGAATCTGGAAGGGAACAAGAAGAAGAAAGAAAGAAGAAAGAAAGAAGAAAGAAAAAAATGAGAAGAAGAAAGGAGAAGAAACCTACCTGGAAACCCTAGTTTTGTCGATGAAGAAGAGAGAAGAGGTCTCTGTTTTGTCAAGCAATTACAGAAGCGAGGTTAGGGGTCTGTTTTGTATAATTTACAAACAGACCCAATCTTTTTTTTTTTTTTAAAAAGGGCCCAGCTGCGATTTTTTAAAAGAAGCGATCACTTCACTCGCTTCGTCGCCTCGTCGCCTTGTCGCTTTTTTCACTGAAGCGTGCGCTTCACACGATCGCATCGCCTCAAGCAGTAAAAAGCGATACCCTCTCGCTTCGCATCGCTTCGCGCTTAAAGCGACGAAGCGATCGCTTTTCCAAACACTGGACGGAACACTAAAGGCCTTAGCTTCTGAGAATTAATATTTCCAAAACCAAAACAGAAACATAAGAAGAAAATTATTTCCATGGGTAGACATTAGAATATGACTAGAGGCAGGATAAAGAAAATCGTCGCTATCAGTTTGAAATTCAAAATTTTAACAGGTCTATAGTACCTTTCCAGCAGATTCACTAAGTGTGGCAATTGAAACTGATCTCTATTGTATTAGGAATTGAACTTTTTGCAAAATCGTATGAGCATGTGTGATACTAGAAATTGCTTTTCACACACATCCATTTTTGGCAGTCCTTGTCATTTGTCAAGCTACTTGATGCCGTTCGGTTCTAATTTTTTTCTTCTCTAACTTATGTGAAAGTTATGTAGTGATCTTAGTGACTGAAAGTTGCATGGAACTCCAGAGTTGATTGTCATATAAATGAAACAGACCTCTAGTGATTCGTGTTATACATCTCTGAGGAGGAAACTATGCCTAGAACCGCCTCTAATTTAGAGTCCCAACATATGATGAAATCAGAAAATACCTAGTGACACCCTTGAAAATACATGCGCTTTTATGGTGCTTCTGTACTTCGAAAGAGCACCATATTGTGTCCAGTGATATTAAAGGCCAAAGAAAAAAGAAAAAAAAAAGATTCAAGTTTTGTTGGTGTTTAAAGTTCAAAGCGCAACTAAAGCGTGAACTTTGATGAAAATATTACAAAGGAAGAAATATATGTGTAATTCATGAATCCGGTGCATGAACAGATAGCTATAAACAAAAACAACAATAATATTGAAAAAGGAACTTTTAAAACCCCTCTCACTTAAGTGAAACGCTTATTGTACAATGTCACCCTCTTCAAGATAGAATCCGTGGTCGATGATGCACATGTTTTATCGCCTTGGTGCCTGCACTAAAGAGCCTCTAAGCGAGTGGAGCACCAAGCCTGTCTTGCGCCTAGTTTGAGGAATTTCGCACTCCTCAGCAGCAATACTGGTTGTTTGTCATTTATCTGTTGGATTTTAATCTTTTAAAAATTTTCATAAAGCCTGTCTTGCACCTAGTTTGAAGAATTTAGCACTCTTCAGCAGCAATACTTGGTTGTTCGTCATTTATTTATTGGATTTTACTCTTAGAAATTTCCATGCATTTTATGTTGTTGAATTCTTGATTAAGGCTAGGCTGCTGACATGTGCTAGTGCAGAAAAGATACCTATAGCAAAACAAATTGCACAAGTTATGAAAATTTTAGAATTCATTGGGACTAGAAAAGGGGAAAGGAGAAGAGACAAAACTCTTATTTGAAATTTGTTGGTTAAAAACATTGTACTAGAGAGCTGCTTATATAGGAGTTTTTAATTTTTTTCGTAACATGAAAAAAGAGGGCTTCCTAATTTTTTGGATTCTAAATATTATGACAGTCATTAAGAGTATTTTACTTTATATTTTTTCTTATTATTTTGACTTTCAACATTCCCCTTAAAATCAAGATGGTGAAGCAACTTGAGTTCGCCATTTCTAAGATAAGAAATATTAAAATCGGAATAGTAAACAATCAACAGAAAGAAAATGGTGCTCGAGTCCTTTCCTTGAAATGTCACTAATAATTGTAAATAATAAAAGTGGTTCTTGCAGTTCACCAGACCCTGTGTGAACGCGAGATGCCTTGTGCACCGGGCTGCCCTTTTTAATAGAAGTGGTTCTTGTAGTATCCATAGAAAAGATCTATCCTCAATCATAGAAGAAATGTGTTGTTGCACAAATCTTCCTGATATCATTGAACTAGCTTGAACTGGTGGCCGAGCAACAAGTAAGAGCAGATATGGATTAGATTAATAGGGCTTCCTCTCCATCTATGGTCTTCTAAAGTTTTCAGAGAAGTGGGGGAAATCTGTGGAGGATGGCTAGAGACGGAGGAGGAAACAGAGCTTAAGAACCACCTGAAATGGGCAAGAATTAAAGTGAGAGGGGATGGTTCTCTGATTCCCAAAACAGTGAAAATCGAGGATGATGGTATCATCTTTGAAATTCCGATATGGTGCGAGGCACTGGTGAGGACTTCTGTGGGGGAGAAGGAAGAAGATGAGGTAAGGGACCAGCGGGTAAAAGGGAAGGCTTCAAACCAGTGGGTAAAAGAATTTAACCTAATTAAAGGGGGTGGGCTCGAGGTTTTAATCAGCAAGTGGAGCACGTGGGAACCTCCAGTACGTGTGGCTTTAATAGTGCACGTGACCAAGCACGTGAGGAACCCTCAGCAAATAATAAAAATGCATTGAAAAGGACTTTGGGCCCAGACTCTCTGGCCCAAGTGATTTATGAGGAGAAACAATTTCCTAGGCCCAATCCTAATTACAGAACTGACCCAGTACATGAAGAAATAAGTGCATTAAAATACAACCCAACGGTGAAGGAACAGAACAGTTCGAGAAAAGCAGAGACTAACAGAAACGATAACAGAGAAGAAGAATACGAAGAAGAAGAAGAGAAAGAGAAAAGGGAAGAAGATAATGAAGAAGGAGAGTTCCAAATCATCCCTATGCAAGAGAACGTCAGTGCAGCCTCTACAGAGGAAGATAAGGAGGACAACATCTCAGAAGACAACAACAAAATAATTATGCATGTAGCAGATAACATCGGAACCATGGATTGGGCGATAGAAGATGCTGAACCACTCAACCAACAGAGTTTAGAGGAAGAAACAGACCTGGACTTCGAGGTATCCATTTGGGTTCATCAGAATATTATAAAATTGAGCAAGGAATTTGGGGTAGATTTCAGTAGGTGTGAACGAGAAGCAATGGAGCTATTTATGAAAATAGATAGCAGGAGACAGTCCAGTAGAGGGAAAACAGCAACACAGTCCTTCCAGACACCAAAGAGAAAGGGAGTCAAGGAATTAAAGGCCTTGGAACTAGGGAGTAATTTTAAAAGTAATGGTACTAGAAGCAGAGCGGGGGTCCATATAGATGTCTAATTAATGATTGTAAATATCTTGTCATGGAATGTGAGGGGGTTGAATAGGGTGAGAAAAAGGAGTTTGATTAAAAGTTTGTTACTTGATTGGAAGGCAGGAATAGTGTGTCTACAAGAATCAAAAATAGAGGGGGTTATCAGGGAATTAGGGAGGGAGTTATGGAGCAATAGATGGGTGAGATATGCTCAATTAGAAGCTAGTGGGACAAGAGGGGGAATTATAGTTATGTGGGATGGTAGAGAGTGGGAGGGGGAGGTGGTTGGAATTGGAGCACATTCCATCACTTGTAAACTGTCAGGAATAACTCAGGAGTATACATTCCACATATCAGGAGTGTATGCCCCAAATGATAGAATAAAGAGGGAGGAAGTCTGGTGGGAGTTGGCTGGGGTTAAGAGGTCTATTCGAGGGACCTTGGGTGGTTTGCGGGGATTTCAATACAGTGAGGTTCCCTTCAGAGAAGAGAAACTGTTCCAGAATATCGAGAGCAATGATGGACTTTTCTAGCTTTATTGAAGATTTGGAGCTGGTGGATATCCAATTAGCAGGTGGAGAACACACATGGAGGAAGGGAGATAGACATGTAACAGCAGCCAGATTGGACAGGTTTCTATTCTCAGCTGACTGGAACGAAAATTTCACCAACATAAAGCAACAACTGATGGAGAGAGTGTGTTCAGATCACAATCCTATAATGCTTCAATCAGGCTCCTGGGAACCAGTCAAGGCATATTTCAAGTTCGAGAATTGGTGGATTCAAACTGATGGGTTCATGTGCAAAGTTGAAGAGTGGTGGAAGTCTTTCTCCTGTCGAGGAAGACCAGACTTTATTCTGGCTTATAAACTCAAAGCCTTGAAAGCAAAACTCAAGGAGTGGAGCAAATCAGTTGAGGGCAACCTAGCTGGGCAGAAAGCAAACATTCTTACTCAATTGGCAGATTTGGAGAAGGTACATGAACAAAGAGGTCTAAATGATGAGGAAATTCTATCTAAAACAACACTATCCATGGAACTTGAGGAGATTGCAAATCGAGAGGAAGTAGCTTGGAGGCAGAGATCCAGGGCCTGTGGTTGAAAGAGGGAGATAGAAACACAAAATTCTTCCACAGAACTCTCAAATGCACACAGGAGATACAATCATATTGACAAGCTGATGGTGGAAGGGGAAACTATGCAAGATCCAGAAGATATTAAGTGGGAAATCATCAGATTCTATAAGAATTTATACACTGAAGAAGAAGAATGGAGGCCTTCAGTAACTAGCAGGAACCAGCCAATGATCTCAACAGAGGACAATTCAATGCTACAGAGCCCATTTGAAGAACAGGAAATCTGGGACAGTGTGAGGGCATGTGCAGGTGACAAAGCACCTGGACCTGATGGATTCTCTATGGCATTTTTCAACAAGTGCTGGGAGGTAGTCAAGGATGATGTGATAGCAGCAGTACAGAATTTTCATAGCCAAGGTATTTTTGAAAAAAGCATGAATGCCACTTTTGTGGCATTAATTCCAAAGAAGGCGGGGGCCAAAGAACTAAGAGACTTCAGGCCTATCAGTTTGATAGGAAATATTTACAAGATAATCTCAAAGCTGCTAACGGAGAGACTTAAAAAGGTGATAAACAAACTGGTAGATTCGCAACAAATGGCATTCATCAGGGCAGACAGATCATGGATGCAGTCCTAATAGCTAATGAATGCATTGACACAAGGAAAACAACCAAAGAGCCGGGGATGATATGCAAGCTGGATATCGAGAAAGCATATGATCATCTGAATTGGGAATACCTTCTTAATACTCTAGGAAGGATGGGCTTTGGAGGAAGATGGATTGGTTGGATAAGATACTGTATTTCAACAGTAAGCTTTCAATTATGATCAATGGGGCCCCAGCTGGTTTTTTTCAATCTCAGAGGGGGCTAAGACAAGGGGATCCTCTCTCTCCCTTTCTGTTCATTATTGCTATGGAAGGTCTAAACGACCTTTTAAAGGTAGCTCAAACAAATGAATGGATTAGAGGATTTAAAGTGAGTAGCAGAGCTAATAGCAATATGAGGATTTCACACTTGCAGTATGTTGATGTATCATTACTGCTGTGTGAAGCTGATAGGGAATAGGTAAAGATTTTGAGGGTGATTTTCATTCTTTTTGAAGCAATCTCTGGGCTTCACATTAACTGGCAGAAGAGCTTCATATATCCAGTTAATGAGGTGTCAGAAATCCAAGACTTGGCCAACATTCTGGGAGGGGCAGTAGGGGAGCTCCCAACTGTTTATCTGGGGATGCCTCTGGGTGCAAAAAGCAAGGCAAAAGGCATATGGAATAATGTACTAGAGAAATGTGAGAAGAAATTAGCAAATTGGAAAAATCAATACCTGTCCATTGGGGGAAGACTGACTCTGATCAATTCTGTGCTCGATGCTATGCCTACTTACATGATGTCCTTATTCCCAGCTCCAGTTTATGTAGTAAACAAAATTGATGCTATGAGAAGAAAATTTCTGTGGGAAGGCAACAGTGAAAACAAGAAGTTCCATCTGGTGAAGTGGGAAGATCTGATTTCCAACAAAAGGGCAGGGGGTCTAGGAATAAAGAATTTAAGAGTGCAGAACCAATGCTTAATGATGAAGTGGCTATGGAAACTGGCGGTAGAGGATCAAACTTTGTGGATAGAGGTTATTAGGGAGAAATACGGAAATGAAGGCAATTGGACAACCAAATCAGTGAGAAGCCCATATGGTGTCAGCTTGTGGAGATCAATTAGAAACCTTTGGCCAAAAGTGATTAACAAATCAAAGTTCAAAGTAGGAAGTGGAAGTAAAGTGTCTTTATGGAATGACAACTGGTTAGGACAAGGAACCCTGAAAGGTCTCTTCCCTGACATTCATGAAATAAATCAGCAACAACAAGCAGTTTTAGCAGAGGTTTGGACTGCCCAGGGATGGAATCTCACTTTTAGGAGAATGCTGAACGATTGGGAGATTGACAGATTGACCGAGTGCTATAGGGTCTTGGAACAGTTCTCTGGAACCAATACAAACCAAGACCTTATCATGTGACAAGGGAATGGGCAAGGAAAGTTCTCAGTTAGGAGTGCGTACAAAGAATACAACCTTGCAAACAATCAAATCGGATGTTGGCCATGGAAGATGATATGGAAAGTCAAAATTCCATATAAGGTCGCTTGCTTCACATGGTTATTGGCAAAAGGTCCAGTCCTAACACAAGATAACTTAACAAAAAGAGGATTTCAACTGTGCTCTAGGTGTTACTTATGTGGGGAGTAGGCAGAGACAATCAACCATCTTTTTTTGCATTGCAAGTTCACTATTCAGATATGGAGGATCTTCATTAGTCTAAGGGTAATCCCATGGGTAATGCCGGGAAGAATCCTTGATATTCTAACTAGCTGGAATAAAGAGGGATTTCTTTCGAGAGATAAAGAGAGATGGAGAATTGTCCCAACTTGTATTTGGTGGTCAGTATGGGAAGAGAGAAACCAAAGATGCTTTGAAGGAAAGTGCAACAGCGTCCAGAAGATAAAGATGAAATGTCTAGCTCTGTTTTATTTTTGGTGTAAAGGAAAACTTTTGGAGGATCATGAATCCATCTTAGATGCCCTAGGCTCATTGTAAGAAGAACTAGGGGGAATAGTGTCCTTTTTTGTGTGTAGTTTTGTATGGACACTCAACACTGTAATTATGGGTGACTTCACATTTTCAGTGAAGTCTTTATATTAATATACAAATTGTTACCCTCTCAAAAAAAAAAAAAAGTCAGCAGAACAGTGATCTGAAAAGTTTCTGGAGAAGTTGTAGGAATAGTGACCGTAACAAGTGGTGCAGTCAGAATATCTACCAGAAAGAGGTGCAGTGTTGTTGGAATTTGGAATTGCCACCTGAAAGAGGTGCTGCATCGCTGGAACAGCAGCCAGAATACGATATTTTTAGTGAATCTCTTTACTCTCAATAATAACATGATCATCTAGAATATTTTACACAATATTCTTAATCTTTCATTACATTATTAGTTCGGAATATTTTGTTTTGGATATTGATCCAATAACTTGGAGTTCAAGGAGTTTAATAATGTTGAGAAAAAAGGAGCTTAATAATGACATCTGGCACTTAAAACTAAATTATTCAAGTCATTGTCCAATTCATCATGTTTGATTTGTGAAAATGAGTTACAAAATGGCTTTTCTCGTTTATTCCAGTTGATTGAAAAAGCAAGAGAATATCTTGGGCTCTCTGATCTGGAGAAACATACTGAAGGTGGTGGTGTATTGGAAGTTCGTATTGGAGATGTATTTTCTCCATCTGTTACTATTCCTGGAGGTTATGCAGGTATATCACTGCCTTAATCAAACAGAAGAATTTCAGAATGTAACCCCTAGACAACCTTTTAATTGCTTTATGATGGAAGGGAAGTTCTTATCCTCCAGTAAATGATTGTTCTTCCAGCTGGTTCCTGCAGTTGAAGCGTTTGAAATAATTTTCTTCCGGGGAAGCCCCATCCCTGATTTATCATACTTTTTAACTTGTTTTGCCACGCATAAGAAGTGAGCTTTCGAAATATTGACATTGAAACATTCTAGGTTTGACTTCTATCCAGTGTTTACTTAATTCTCCAAAATGATAATTTCAGGTATAATAGTTGATTTGTTTTCTGATGGAAAGGTTTTGCCCCAACTGCAAGAGGTATGCTCAAGTGCACAATTTTGATAGTCATGCACTTTGTAGTAATGCTATCTTTACAGTACAATGCTTGCTTATCTTCTCATAAACTAATGTTGTTGATAATTGTATCTCTTTTTTGGAATAATCTCACGTTGATTTTCTTTTTGGCTGCTAATAGAGTTGATGTTTGAGTCAATCCTTTGGCACCCAATTGGGAGTGTGGTTTCTGGATAAGTACTTTTTCTAGTATTTAGAGAAGTGCTTTATAAATTCTATAGTAGCATTTCGTTGTACCATTATTTTACAAAGTACTTTGTGTTTAATATACAAATTAACCATTTAATTTTCTATCGGAAACAGCCTCTTTGCCCTATCGGGTAGAGGTAAGGTCTGCGTACACATTACCCTCCCCAGACCCCACCTGGTGGGATTTTACTGGGTAGTTGTTGTTGTTGTTGTATACAAATTAACCATTTAAATATTCATTTTGATTTGTCCGGTACCTGTGTCGTTGAGATAGCAGGTGCCCGGTGAAATAGTCGAGGTGCGCACAAGCTGGCCTCAGCACCACATTATAAAAAAATAAAAAATCGCTTTGATTTGTAGTGGGGCAAATTGTCAAATAGTACCTAAATATTAACCAACAGAAGTTTCATCAGCTCCAAATTTGAGCATTTGCCGTACTCGTTTGTTGAAAGCTCTACTAGTGATATACACTTTCAACATTTACCAAACACTAGACAAAGGTTCATTTCATGTTGAAAGTGCTAATTTCTCAAGTGCACCCCCAGTGCGACCAGATTGAGTGTGACCTGCAGATCTACTCTCATTTTAATTGAAGTATTAAGTTGCTGGTACTCTTAATTCACCTGTGTGCGCTTTTTTGATTCATAAAATTCACCCTTGTGCATCTATTGCTGTCTGTTTCCTGGTGGTAGATTTCTAGGATCTAATGCATTTGTTTCGGCTTTCCTTGACAGGTCACAACTTGGTTGGAGATGAATAAGGTGTTGATGCCCAATGGTCGGCTCATGGTGAATTGTGGTGCTGCTACCAAAGAATGGTCTAATACTTCTTCTGAAATGATCCAACCAGAAATTTCCGAAAAGGATGATCCTAGGGAACTAAACGCAACTATCAACGCATTATGCAAGGCATTTCCTGGGCAGGTAGGGTAATTGAATTCCATTTATCTTCCTTAAAGCAGGACGCACATGAAGGCGTGAAGCTTCATCGAGTTATAGGAGCATCTGGAAGGACCAAAGTTTGTAGCTCTTTATTTCTCAGTAAAAGCAGTATAAATTTTTGTGGCCGCTCTTGGTTTACTAGCTGCCTTTTTGTCATTCTTCTTTTAAAAGGTTACCTAGGGTTATGCAACTATGAAAGCAATACTTTTAATCCAGTGAATCATGGAGGCTTTTGGAAATTAATCTCAGCCATTTATAATTCAAAAGTGCCTTTATCAAGATATGCAATTTGATAGAGAAATCATGTTAGTAATTATGACATACTCTATGTCCTATTTATTTTTTTAGTAATTAAAACATTTTGGTTCACTCGAAAGAAATCAGTAGTGGTAGATGAAAGTTGAGCGAGTTTGTGAAAATAGTATGGTACATATAATTTTCAGAAATTCATCAACAACAACAACAAACCCAGTATTCCCACAAGTGGGGTCTGGGGAGGATGGTGTGTACGCAGACCTTACCCCTACCTAGTGAAGGTAGAGAGGTTGTTTCCAATAGACCCTCGGCTTTGAAAGAGAATTTTCAGAAATTCATCAAACAGCACAAACAATATGGGAGTTTGGTCTTGACCAACTGTTACCATTATCTGTGCACCAGATAGATGGTTTCAGGCACCAAACCCCTGTATCTTTGGTCACGGCACCAGTTCCATCATAATTAACAATGATCACTTGAAACAGCTGTACTGTCTTGAAAAGTTGTCCATCTTTTAGAAGGAATTCTTGACTTTTCAAGTTGATCAAGGTATACCGTATATGGATGCAATGTAATGGTGTACTCTGTAAATGTGTGATAAATGTCTAGAAATGTGCAATTGCGTGGTGCGATATTGCTGGGAATGAGCTTAGGAAAAGGCAGGACTGGTGATTCTGTTTAGTTTATGATAGCTTGCGATAGCTTGGCATGAAACCGTTCAGAGGGTTTCAGTGACATTACAATTTCATGGCATATAAATTTTGTTATTTGCTGTGTGCAGTCTGTGCACATTAAGAATATTCTGGTCTTTTGAAAGCCACTATGCATTTTGCTCTCTGCCTTTACCTGCTATGACTAATAGTTTATTATCTGAAATGGCAGGTAAGCTGGAAAAAGTTGCCAAAGAGAGCAGGAGAAAATTTTCTTGCGCTGACAGGACCATTACCAGATTTGGCTATTTGGTCTGCTCGTTTCCCGGATCAATTAAGCTCAAGTGTCAAAGAATGGAGAAGTTGCATGGCTTCGTGATTTTTGAGAATGGAACTTGATTAAGCTGTCCTTCGTGCCAATAGAAAAGGTCCTTTGCAGCCCCCCGCCCCATTCCCAATTTTTAGCTAGATTCCAAATTTCCAGTAGGTGGGCTGTTTTAACAAATACTATATGTCTTCCCGTATAGGAGATCTTCCTTTCCAGGTTTTTATTTTCGTGTAAGTGATTGTTTTATCAGAAGGAAAGCAAAGGGATGCAACCTGTATATATTGGCCCACAGGCAACCATCAGACACTGCCTAGTCACCCTTAATCCCTCTGTGAGTAGCCTGTTTCTATCTTGATTTGCAGTCCAATCTCTTCAGCTCTCCTTTATGTGTATTAGTATTACGTGATGATTATTACTGAGTGTCTCAACTCTGCTAAAGTTAGGATATACTTTGATTTGTGACTACGCCATTACCAATCGTGGAACCAGGTGTTGATCACTCTTGGTAGGCTTCAATCATATAGTTATCTTTATCAAAGTTTGTGATGGTTTAAAACATGAATTGTGCATGCTTAATCCATAGGCAGGCGGTTTTGAAAAATAATTCCGGCAAGATCATTGTTTTTTTCAATTTGGCGGAGAAGAAACTAATGTCTCCTGAAGTATAGTTGCAGAAGCGTGTGACAACTCATCTAAAAGTTTAACCTGTTTTAGAGAGAGCATACTTTTATTTACTTAATTATATCACTGTTGAATTGGATTCACACTTATGTGGAGTGCATAATTTTGATATGACTGAGAGTTTATAATGTGATGACTGCTAATATAAGCATTTTGATGCTTAAACATTATGACAAGATCATAAACAAGTAGCAGCTCAAAAAGCTTCTTATTACCATCACACAGAATTATAACGTAGCAAAGTTTCACGCACAGCAAACCATAAAAAAAGGAAAAAAGGTCGCAGACCACAAGCGAATATCCCCCCTTCCTCAAGTCATCCACACATAGCGAATGAGGAGAAAGAGTACCAAATGCAACTGTAAATTGTTTTTGGTAGTGAGACTGGAAGTCACATTTTCCGAGTCCTCCACCTTTATTTTCAAGCACGCAATAGTATAATAAGATAAGCTATTAGAAGTTGGAACAACACCCTTCCTTCAGCAGGCTAGCGGCGGAAGCTCCTAACCTGGCGTGGTGTCTCAGTACTGTCATCTCCTCGAAGTTTGACGAGCGTATAAACAGCTGCCCCTGCAAGAGCCCCCAGAGTTGGAGCCACTATGTATATCCACAATGACTTGTAATTTCCTGCTGCAACGGCTGGCCCCAAAGTTCTTACTGGATTCATGGAAGCACCGCTTGATGGCCTGCTTATTCCAACATTTCAAAAACTCAAAAAAAGAGTTACTGGATCTGCTTTGGCGAAGTCTAAGTTATAGTCGTAGCTGAGAATTCTTTTCTCACTTTGCTAGGCATGAAAGCACAATTGGGGTGGAGCATTTAGCTCTCTACTTCTGTTTACTTCTTTGCGGTTGGTTTTGTGCAACATTTTTGTAATTGAAGAAAGGGCATCAGAATGAAGTTTCTTCCCTAATGCAAGAGCTGATACGGTAACACCCGAAGGTTTGTTTGGTAGCTAACCCATATATTAGTACTAACACTATTGTAGAATTTTCGGATTCTGGGAGGAAAAGATTTAGTAGATAGATTTAAGTAAACTGTAAAAGCTAAGCTAGCGTTTGGACATAGATTTGATTGAAACTTGAAAAAATGAGTTTTTGAAGATGAGATGGAAAATAGTTTTTAAAAGTTGAATTATGTTCGGACATACATTTTATTGAAAAGAATTTGAAGTTGTGTGAGTAGAAAACTTCAAAAACTACCCTAGAGCTGTTCTTGGGTTAAAATCTTTAAACAAGCAGATATTTGAAAACAAATTTTGAAAAAAAGCTCCCAAATTTTATGGCCAAACGGGAGCTAAATACTTGGGTGTTGTGTGTATGATCCAGGATTCCATACCAGTACCTTGGGGGCTAAAAGATGGCATCTTATTTTAAGGAGGAGGATGAAACAGAAGCAAGTCCATGTGAGGCACTATTTTAGCTAGGGAAGGAAATGGTGTTGCAGATGCTTTGGCCAATTTGGAGGAAATTTGCAAGTCCCACTTGCAACTAAACTGTATTATACAGTCCAGAACCTTCCTAGAGAAGATAATGGTCCCCTCATGATGGATAAGTTGCAGCTCCCTACATTTTGAACTAGGCAGGTCAAGGAAAGGGTTGTACATAATTTATTGTAAGTTGATCATATTACATCTGTAGTATTTTGGAGAAATCCTACTTATGCATATTTTGGTCTTCAAGTGTACGTGGCCCTTGATAGGAGGATGTGGAGGTCGAGAATTAGGGTAGAAAGTTAGCAGGTAGTTTGAGCGTATTTCTGTTCTGTACCGGAGTACTAGGGTTAGTCTGGTAGTGTCTTGTTCTTAGATTGCTCGTATTACATATGATGTTGTCCTACTATCTTCTGCTTCGGTTTCCTAGTATCTTGTTGTTATCACTGCTTGTTGCTATTGATTCCTTCCATCTATTTTTCTGGCTCTTAGATTGTTGTTATTATCTTTCTGGCATTTGTTGTTGATATAGCTTGTTTCTATTGTTTCTTTTCATTTTTTTTTTGAGGTGAGGATCTATCGAAAACAGCTTCTCTACCTTTCCGGGATAGGGATAAGGTCTGCTAGACCCAACTTGTGAAATTTTACTGGATTTGTTGTTGTTGTTGCAACTCCTAGTGAGCATGTTAGGAATAGGAGTTGACACAGTTTGATTACAGAAGGCAATACTTTAATCTCTAAGTTGGAATCTAAGACAATTTCTAAGTTAGTTGGCCATATTTTTTACATAATTCAGCCTGTCCAATTGATGACAGTCAGGATTTGAGGAGGTAAGTTGGCATTCCTCCTCCTTAATATTTCACTTTTGGTTATTAAGCAACTAAAGCAAGATTACATTAAAAAAAAAAAAGTATAGTAGTAAATAAAAAACACTTGGGTATTGAGATATTTACTTACCCCGCCACTAGAATATTGAGCATGACTGTAGCTCCAACTGCAATGCCCGCCAACTCTCCCACCTATTGAATATTAAGATTAGTATCATCAGGGAAAAGAAAAATAAAGGAATACGTCGTTATTGGCATAGGAAGAGGAAGGAAAGAAGAAAAAACAAAAAGTTCATGCCATCTTGCCAAGTATAGTTTTTCTCGACTAGATCATGGAAGTAATTATCAGAGCTGTCTTTGTCCGATGGATTCTAGGTATCTATTTTTTAATAAAATTTGTGTGTGAACCTCTAAATTGAACTCAAAGGAGGTAACAGATCTTTCTAGATTTCGATCATGTAATTGAATCAATATCAATGATAAATTTTGCCTAGGGTAAATTATAACACCTACTTCTCGCTTGATCGAAGGGGAGCCTTGGAGCAACGGTAAAGTTGTCTCCGTGTGACCTATAGGTCACGGGTTCAAGCCATGGAAGCAGCCACTAATGCTTGCATTAGGGTAGGCTGTCTACATCCCTTCCACGGACCCTGCGCGAACACGGGATACCTTGAGCACCGGGCTGCCCTTCTCGCTTGATCCTCTTCAATAAACTAGACTATAGTCTAACATGTATGTAAAAAGAGAACTATGTTAACATGCTACGTCTATGCTATGTATGATTAATGCTCCCAAGAGTGAAAGAAGCCAAGTTAAGTCGGTCCATACCGCGCGGGTGTCGGTAGCAACAGCAGTGACAACAAAAAGGAGATTGAATGTGATGAGGAATTCAAGAGCAAAAGCCTGGCCAGTGTTTACGGAAGGAACAGTAACGCCACCAGACATGAAAGGATGAAAAACACCCTTGAGAGCAAAAGAAGCACAAACGGATGCTGAAACCTGCGCTGCAACATAGGCCGGCACTTGAACCCAGGGAAAGTGACGAAGTGCTGCAAATGCGATGGTGAGCGACGGATTAAGATGCGCTCCAGAAATATGGCCCGTCGACAGAATCACGATCATGACGGCCAGCCCAGCGCAAGCTGCATTTCCGATTAGAGATTCTACTCCGTTGTATTTTTGGTTCACTATTGGCCCGGCTGTTGCAGCAAATATAAGGATAAATGTTCCCACGAACTCTGCTCCCAGCTGTATCACCACAGACGTTTTTAAACTTTAGGAGACAATTAGTTCTATAAATGCAACAAAATAACAATGAAGGAGTTCTATTTCAGAAGTCAGAACTTGCAAGTTGAACTACTAAAACAGTGACCATAGGTTTGTAATCTATTGGCACCACAAAAACTTGCTAAATTTTAGAATTCAGATTGAAATTTCCATTTTCTTGAGAAGAATCTTGCATGCTCTCAATATAAAAATGAAAATAAAAAGGGAAAAGAACGGACACATGAAAGCATGTTTTAGAAGAATGTGCTGTAAATCAAATTCCGAGTTATGACTTTGACTGAATAAAGTAAATTTTTCACTTAAAGATTGCAGCACATTTTGTAGGGGGGAAATCAGAAATAGACTGATAAATGAAAAAGTCGTAGTTTCAAAATTAATCGAAATTTAGCTATTTTTTCATATAAAGATAAAATTTGAACGACAACATCCTTAAAATCCGAAAAAACGAGTTTGGTATGCATTTTTGAATGTAACAAAAGGATATTAATTAATCGGAGTTTAATAAATTTATCTGGTGACATAATCATGCTTGTAATGGTTTATTAAGTACCCATATGAACTACCTAACCCCCAATTTGTCTGACTAAACTTGATTATTAGCCAGGTACTCTAAGTGGACCAAAAATTAAATTAATGAAAATCTAAAAGCATAGGCAAAAAAAATAATAATCAATATCACCAGAATTGATCTTAAATGCAAATATATGAAAGTAGAGTATATATGACAACATTTTAGCAATCGAGATACTGGCAAAAGCTGGTCCAATTGACACAATCTAGCTAGTTATCGCAACCATTGGACCTTGACATATGAAATGTCCAACGCAAATTAATTGCGTGAATAGATAGTCATTTTCAAAAAAATTATTTAGAGATTAGTAAATACTTATTTTATCGTAAAATTTTAAATTAAAAATTTTAACTTTCAGTTAGGATATTTTTGAGAGTGTGTACCTTGCGGGTGAGGGAGACATCTGGTGCGGGGAAGTCGGAGAGACACGTGTGAGGAGTGCCCCATGTTGGAGCATCCAAAGGCAAGCACTTGCATCGGGGCATTGACTTTCGATCATAATTAGACCCCATTGAGTCCACTCGAATCGACGAGAACAGCGGCGTTGGTGTCCCCGGCGTTGCCGGCGCCGATACTGGTGATTCAAATTCCGGCATCTCCGATCCTTTTCCTTTCTTTTTTTTTTTTTTTTTTTTAAAAGAGAAATGAACTAGGTTTCTTTCAATGGAGAAATATTACATGATTTTTTGGCTTTTTTAAATGTTCAGCTACACGATATTCAGTTTAACAGCCAGATCGCTTTGATCCTCAGAATAATCAGAATCCGGCAGGAAACATAACAAATGGAAACAATTTTTTTTTTTGATTTTTTTGGTGGGAAGGAGAAGCTAGGAGAAATAAAGTTACATGCTTTAGAGGTTTTTATAATTGTGCCACTAAGGAATACAAGAACTGAAGCTATCCAGCTTAATTAACTATGCACTAATTAAGATGATGGCGAAACCTTGAGCATAAATAGGATCTGAATTACAGTACAGAACAGCAAACCAGTACGATGACTAACTCAGACTGCTTAATGAATGAATTGAAGAGGATCCAACTTTGACGAATAACAAACAAAAAAGATGAAGAAGAAGAAGAAGAAGAAATAGATTAACGAAACAGTGGAAACAAGAAACAGAAATGAATTTAGGCAAGGACGGGCAGTGGGCTATATGTTTTGGGTAATGGCATATGTAATCCACAGCATTATTATATACACACACTGCTTAGCTATAAAGTAAATAAATTACTCCTAGAATAGTAAAAGGAAGCCGACAATCTTATGAGAGAGACAAGATGAGAGAGAGAGAGAAAAGTCAATGCTTACATTGCTAAACTGACATGGCATTATGATAAATAAGTATAACAGCACGTATTAATAGTCTGTTTGGCCAAGATTCTAAAATCAGCTTATTTTGAGAAGTGTTTTTCTCAAAAGTATTTTTAGTAAAGTGATTTTGGTGAGAAGCAGTTTGTGTTTGGCTATTTTTTTGAAAAATACTTTTGAACAGTAATTAGTGTTTGGCCAAGCTTTTGAAAATTGCTTCTAAGTGTATTTTTCTCAAAAGAGCTTCTCATAAAAGTGCTTTTGAAGAGAAGCTACTTTTTTCTGCTTCTCAAAAACTGTTTCTGCTTCTCCTCAAAAGCACTTTTTTCCTTCCAAAANTTATTATTATTATTATTATTATTATTATTATTATTATTATTATTATTATTATTATTATTATTATTATTATTATTATTATTATTATTATTATTATTATTATTATTATTATTATTATTATTATTATTATTATTATTATTATTATTATTATTATTATTATTATTATTATTATTATTGCACAATACTTTCTCTCCTTCAGAGGCGGCTCATCTCTATGTGTGGCCTAAAGCGAAAATTTAAAAAGAGGCCTCAAAAGACATTCGAGGTTAAGAAATGCTTTTTCATATCTAATCCTTTGATAATTTCATTAGCTTAAGATTGAAAAATTATCTAAAAAGCACTTAAAATGAAAGAAGATTCTACAAAATCATAATTATAAACAAAATTGAATCAAGTAGAAGTGCGTTAGACAAATTAAGAAGTTGAGTTCATCCACCATGCGTGAGGTAACAAAAAAGAATAATAAAAAATAGGAAGTAAATACATAATAATCTACAGTTATTAGTATAAACTTTAAAAATTGACAACAAATGATTAAAACTAATTTATTTATCACTAATAATAAATACATAATTATTTATACTATATATAATTTAAGTAAATTTGGGGCCTTAATTTTTTGGAGGCCTAAAGCCACACTGGCTTTAGGGTTGAGCCGCCACTGCTCTCCTTGTTCGATTATACGAACTACTACTACTACTACTAGTAGAACAGATGAGATATGGTGTACCAACAGTTAGGGGTCATTTGGTTTGAAGATAAGTTTTGCTAGGATAAATTATACTGGGATTATTTTTTATTGGCCATTTGATATATTGTATTTGTTGTGGAAGATTGTAGAGTAGTTAGCACACAATTACAAACAAAACAAATAAAGAAGGATAAAATAAACACAAGGATTTAACAAGGATTAGGCATCTTCCGCAACAATATTAATTTTGGAATTGTTAATTTTACTATTTATTCTAAAATAACTTATCCCGTAATTAATATTCCATCCTTTAATAAATATAAATTAATTTTTATTTTAAAATTATTTTTGTTTATCTATCGTATCACACCACCGCATAGTCTGTTACCCGCAAGAGGAATTATTCTCATACGGTAATAATTTATCGTAGAAAAAGGAGATAACAAGTTCATCGG